TGGTTTTGTGTTTTTTTGTGTTTTGTGTTGTTCTTTTAAGTTTTTGTGTTTTTTTTGTCGCTGTTTTTCTGGTTTTCGTTCGTTTGTGTGTGTATGACGGTGGTCTTGTGCTGCCCGCAGGCGAGGTGCACCCGCAGGGCCCGCCTGCCCCGCCTGCCCCGCTGGCCTCGGCTGGGCCCCGAGGGTGGGCCTCTGGGGGATGGCGGACGCGGAGGACGCCCCGCTCCCGAGGCCCCCCGGCACGCCGTCCTCGCCGCCCGCACCGTCCTCCTCGTCGTCGTCGTCACCGTCCCGGCGACCGCCGCGTCGGCCGTCGTGGCGGGGGGCCTCCGGGTGGGGATGGAGCCCGGGATCCTGGCCGGTGCAGCTGGTGCAGCTGGCACTGGCGGTCCTGCTCCTGGCCTCCGGATGCGCCGCCGAGTATCAACAGTGAGTACAAAACACCTCAACGACCCTCTAGTTTTGAGTTGAGAGTCCGCAGGGTGGAAACTTCCAGGCTCCATGTTTAAAGTTACCCCATCCGCAAGAATTACTACCATCGGGGACACGTTTCTCATGGCATGCCAAATCCTGCGTGATAGAAGTACTCTGGTTGATTCGCTTGTGCTGCTGCTGCCCGATCGGGGCCCCTGGGCGGTAGGCAGCCGCCGCCGCCGCCGCGCAGCCGTGCGGAGCGCGCGGCCCAGCCTTCCGCCCACAGGCGCGCTCACCGAGACCCTCGTGTGTGTCCCCAGGAGCCTCATGTTCAGCGACATCCTCCCGGAGAACCCCAAGCTGTACGACAAGATGAGGCCGCCCAAGAAGGACGGCGGCCCGACCGTCGTGTACTTCCACGTGACCGTCATGGGGCTCGACTCTATCGACGAGAACTCGATGGTAAGAAGGATGGGGCCGCTCAGAAACGTAGACCATTGGGGAGTCCAAATGGGGTCCTAAAAGGGTCAGGACGGTCACGGTCATTGGAGTACAAGGAGCACACCATGATATTTTTACCCCCAAATTTCATGGGGTCTCCGTGGACTCCAAATGACCCTCCTGATCCTTTTGGGGCCCCATAATATTTGGATACCCGCGCACCCATTGTTCCACCTTGTTTCGGAACGGCCCACAGAGCGAGCGACTTGTTTCTTCTGACGACTGACTTTTCTATCTCGCGTTCGACAGACCTACGCCGCTGACATCTTCTTCGCGCAGACGTGGAAGGACCACCGGCTGCGGCTGCCGGAGAACATGACGTCCGAGTACAGGCTGCTCGAGGTCGACTGGCTCAAGAACATGTGGCGCCCCGACTCGTTCTTCAAGAACGCCAAGGCCGTCACGTTCCAGACCATGACCATCCCCAATCACTACATGTGGCTCTACAAGGACAAGACCATCCTGTACATGGTCAAGTAAGTCGTCCCCGGCGACCCTGAGGGGGTAGTGGGGTGCAACTAAGGGGTACTTCACGCACAGAAAAAATCAGAGCACACCAAATTTTAGAAAAAATCAAGACAAAATAAACAAAATCAAGACAAAATCAATTTCGAAAAAAA